TATGGATGCCTGTAATCCCAGCTATTTGGGAGGCTGAAACAGGAGGATCATAAGTTCAAAGTCAGTCTGAGCAACTTAGGCTCTGTTTCAAATAAAAATAAGAGCCCTTGCCTAGCAGGTATGAGGCCCTGAGTTTGATCCCCAATACCACACTAAGTGAACAACTGTCTTCACCAAAATATCATCTTTTCTTCTTACAGGTGGATTTTCCTCCTACTCTGTATATCTGTCTCCTAGCTACTTCTCTCTGCTGTAAAGTTTGCTAGCCTTTTCCAAGTGGTCTCCTTCTGGGCTTGACTCATTTCCTTCTGGTAAGCAACTCAACTGAGAATTCATGTTCTGGAAGTGTGCTAAAAGGCTTGGTAAATGCATACCAGCAGCAGAAAGTTTGGAGTGGCTATCTGACATGTGAAAACTGTGATCTTGTCAAGAAACCCGGTATATTCATAAGACGTTTCCAATAGCCAGCAGGTAAATACTTTTCATCTAAACAAAAAAGAAAAGCTGGTGTATTTCCTAGTTTAAAATTGAAATTTGCTTTTTAAAAGCAGTTGTTCTCAAGCAGTTTCAAAAATGGAATTATTCTACCCCTAAGACAGCTTAGATGTAGGACTTGAATTTTAAATTGGAGAGAAACACAAACCAGTGATTGCAAAACACATCCTTAGTGGTTTGACTGAACTCAAAAAATAGTATTTATAAAGGTATATAAAAGGTATGTTTACAAAAGTATAAGTGCAAAGTTAGCCTCTTTATAGGACTTCATTTCCAAAAAATTCACTGTTCAAAACAAAGTACGATGAACAAGATGGAGTGGGAACACTTCTTCCTAATTCTTCCTTGTGCCTCAAAAATAAACACAAGATTATGTTGGAAAATGGAGAAAAAGCTGATGGGCTAGGAACCTCAGGACCCAAGGTATAATAATACAGCATTGAGTTCCCTGAGTTTTGTTTGTCTCCTATTTCCAGAATGGTGCTGGAGAAATACCAGCTCAGGAATGCCAAAAAGAGGACAATAAAAGCCACAACAAAAGCCAGTTTTCTCTAGCCAAAGGACCAGGGAAGGGGCAACCTAGAAAGAATATTCAGATAGTAACCCAACACCATGGGAAGAAACCAGGACCCCAGCAACACACATCAGCAAAGCCAAGTGGAGGCCTAGACTTCCTTCCTTACCTGGCTGAAATGGGCCTCCTGGACTCTTCCTGGAGTGGTATCCCAGAAGGCCCAGAGAGGAGCCCAGACTCTTGCCAGCAGAGTCAATGTGCTCTAGTGGGAAGCAGCAAGGAAGCACACTTTGTGCCTAGAGGCTGAGTAAAGCCCAAACTTTTCCTGTCAGGCAGCAGTGAAGCGGTATCATAGCTCCATTTGTCCACTGACATGGTCTTAGAGGACATCTACTAAAATGAGTTTAATAAGATCCAGAATCTTTGAACACCCCCCTCCCCAACCACCCCCCCCCCCATGGAAGAAAGCCCCTCTGCCACCTGTGCCTGCATCTGCCATTGCTCTTATTATACCATATGCATTGCTGGATGCCACTTGCTGTGTCCATTCCACTAGTCCCTTTGCTCCTAGGCTTCATGTCACCTGTGCTGGGCATAGACACTTCCTCCATGGATGCTAACTGAACATTACAGGGTGAAATGCTAACATTTGGCACTTAACAGAAGCAGAATTAACAAAATCCTAGAGTGCAAAAGGGTGGGTCTCATTTGCTTTTCAGTTCTCCAATATTAAGGAAACTGAAAACAACTTTAATTGACTGGAGAAGAAAAGTGGGATCATTTCATTATTAACTGTATAGTTTAGAATAAAAGGAGGTCAAAGGAGTATTCACATTAAGAGGATAATGGCAACCTACAGCTATAACTTTTACTGAACAAAAATAAAGTCATACAGTGGCAAAAAACAAAACACAAAACCATAAAACCCAAATGCCCAGTAGGATGGAAAGTCATACTTTGATACCAAGAACAAGGCAAATCTCAACTTGAGTTAAGAAGAGACAACAAATGCCAATCCCAAAATGACACATAGATTACAGGTTTTTAGAACAGTCATTAAAAAAAAAAAGTCTCGATGAGCAATTATGAACATTCTTGAAACAAATGGAAATTTAACAAATGAAAGAAAAAGAATAAAATGAAATGGTTCTACAGTTTAGGAGAGGATAACAGTGAACCCAAAGACAAAAAAGAAATGACCCAATCTGGCTGGGGGTGTGGCCTAGTGGTAGAGCACAAGCTTAGCATGTGAGAGGCTCCGTTTAATCCCTAGCATCAAACAACAAAAACACCAACTCCTCAAAGATCTTGGAACATCATGGAAAGAGCAAAAATATGATAAATACAATAGATTTTCCTTCTCTAGCTTCTTAAACTGTTTGATGGTGGGAGCAAAATGTATTAACATTGCTTGACGTGGATCTCACTGCATATAGAGGATATATTTAATACAATTAGGTTATAAATGGGGGACAGACAAGGGACATAAGTTCTACATTTCACTCAAACTGGCAAAATGTTGACATTGACTGATCTTCAGAGCAATGACATAGTTCCCTAATTTGGTTGTGTTGGTGGGTACAGGAAGCTACATGTGATAAAATGCCATACACCCACATTACACTAATGTGTTTCCTGGTTTTGATATTGTATGGTAGTTGTGTGAGATGCATCTGTACTATCTATCTCTCAGTTATTATTTAAAAATTGAAACAGGACAAGGATAGGACAAGAATGTGGCTTTAAAAGAGGTAGGGATGAGGTAATAATCTCCCCTTCCTGAATAATTCCCAGTTTTCTGAAGATTAAACATGCCTCTTCCCAGCCTCCAAAGTCTCTCGATTACTGAGCCCAGATTGATTTATGTTCTAGGTACACTTCTCTCACAATATAGCAGAAAACTTGTTATTTTTAATAATACAGATAACTAAAGAGATATTTATTTTCACAGAATTCATCCCAATATATTGAAACTAAGAATATTTTTATGTGAAAAGCTGAAATACTACTGTTAATATATTTGGTAAAAATAGCTTCTAATAAAATTCTCACTTAAGAATGTAATCAAAGTCATAAGAATATTCTGACATGCAAAATAAGCTATACCTCGAAGAACTGTGTTTACATTAATTTTATTTTTCCTCAGTACCGGGGATTGAAACCAGGAGCATTTTACCACTAAACCACATCCTTAGCCCTGATCTTTTTTTGAGACAGGGTCTTGCTACTCAGGTTGACCTTGAATTTATAATCCCAAATTTCTGGGATTACAGGTGTACACCATTTTACCTAGCCCATGTTGGTTTTAAATAGAAAATGTCTCCCCTATTGCGAATATATTTAGATTAGAAAAGGCTGAGTGTTGTCAAGCTTTTTTCTGTAAAGGGCCATATGGTAAAACATTCAAGCTTCATGGGCCATAAGATCTCTGTCAGCAACTACTCAATCCTGCAGTTTTAATGTGAAAGTATCTAGAGACAAATGTAAATGAAGAGGCGTGGCTGTGTTCCAATAAAACCTCATTTACCAAAGAGGCAACAGGGGCCACAGCTGCACTAGCCTAATCTTAGGTTACTTACTTATCCTCCACTTATTAAACAAAAAACAAAGTTAAATTAGATAAAAATAAATTTTAACATATATTGTGTTATGGACATTAAAATGGAGCCAAAGGAAGACTTCATAGAGGCAAAAGCCCTTGACTAGCAGTCAAGGTTTTGAAACCTTCAAGAATTCTGTCCTTTGTTTTGCCAGTTACTAGCTGTAAAATCTTGGGCAGATCACACATTCCCTGAGATTCCATTATTTCATATGAAATTTGAAAAAATTTCAGGCAGGTAGTCTTTCCAGTCTAAAAATGAATTTCAATTCAGCTGACTTATTCCCACTGTTTCCATCAAAAGTTTCAAAAGAAAACTAATTTCTACCTAAACAATTTAAAATGGTTAAGTTCAAAGAACTAAAAATAGGCATTGAAAGATTTGGAATATTACAATCAAACAAAAAAAAAAAAGAAGGAAAAATATGAAGCATCAAAAAACAAAGGATCTAAAATAAACAAAACAATCTTGAGAAAGGAATTAGAAAGCCTATTTTACCTGAGATTTTAAAAGTTTTGACAAAAAGATGAACAACAAATTAATGGGACAGAAAAGTCAATTCACAGATATTTGGTCAAATGGTTTAATTAGTCAAAGACACTGAAACTATTTAATGAGGAAAGGATTATCTTTAAAAATGATGCTGGAAATGAACATTCATACACAAAGGTACTTGACCCCTACCTTCCTATGGGTCAAAAAAAATCTATTCAAGGTGGATCGTGGTTCTAAACCAAAAAGCTAAAATAATAAAGTTCCTAAAATAATATTTTCATAACTTTGGGGAAGGTGATTATACAGAAAACATTAAATTGAAAATTGATAAACTTTTTTTCAACAACATTAAAGCCTCCTTCACACTGAAAGAGACTGTTAAGAAAATAAGCAAGCCACAGAGTGGGGTTGGGGGGGGGGGGAATAAGCTTTGTAGCATGCTGAGGTGCAGCTCAGTGGTAGAGTGCTTGCCTATACTGTAAGGCCCTGGGTTTGATCCCTAGCACTGAAAAAAAGAACTTATATGCAGAATGTATAAAGGAGTCATTAACCAATTAAAAAGGTGGGGAGGAATGGACAAAAGAATTATTTATAAGCACATGAAAAAAATGCTCATTAGTCATCAGGGAAATGCAAATTAAACCACCATGAGATACACCACATAACCAACCAGGAGAGTGGGTGGGATGAAAAAGATGGATAACAACAAACATCAGCAATTCTTTGTGCCACTCATACATTGTGTTGGTGGGAACAGGAAATAGTACAACCCTTTTAGAAAACTGTTGGGCGGTCTCTCAAAAAAGAATTAAATATGCGTTCATCCTAAGACCTAGTGATCCTATTCCTAGTTTTTCAATCTGAAAGTAACAAAAGCATGTTCATAAAAGTCTCTGTTCAAAAACATTTATAGCAGTTTATTCATAATAGCTCAAAACTAAGACAGTTCAGGGGTTCATGAATAGAAATACAGATGCGTAAACAGTGGTGTATTCAAACAGTACTACACGGCAATAAAAAAGAACCAACCATCAATGCAAATGAATCTCACAGAGAAGCTGAGTAAAAGCAGAAGCGAAAGTCAAATAATTAAAAATATAATTTTATCAGTCTAATTCAAATTTCTTCAAATGTGAACTTAAAATGTATTTGCTGATACTCGGGCTCATTTTTCCCCACATAAAACTGTCCATATTGGTGTTCAGTAAGGATATATATTACTTCTAAATAGCTGAGGCCTCTATGCACTGAGCCACATAACACCCCACACACTACTGAGAACTGTAATTCACCTCTTGTCTAACAGAATCTAAGTGATCTTTATAACCTCCTCTCTAATAAATTTTCCTTCAAACTGAGGTCAGCTGAAAAAGTTTAAGAGAATCCACAATCAGCATCTGTCTTCCCTCTTGTAACAACTACAGAACAGCATTTTCTCCTACTTTGCATGGGAAAACGATGACAAAACACAAGAATAATTTTCTGGCCGGGTTCGGTGGCGCATACCTGTAATCTCTGGGCTCAGGAGGTGGAGGCAGGAGGATCATGAGTTCAAAGCCAGCCTCAGGAATTTAGTGAGGCGCTAAGCAACTCAGTCAGACCCTGTCTCTAATAAAATACAAAATAGGGTTAGGGATGTGGCTCAATGGTAAAGTACCCCTTAGTTCCCCTCCAAAAAGCTGTTGGGCAGTCTCTTAAAAAAAATTAAATATGCATTAATCCTAAAATGAACCCTAGTCCCCCTAAAAATCCCTGGTACCTGCCCCCAATTTTTTTTTTTCTAAATAAAAGTTACACATTTTACATTTTTCATAAAGATCTCATCACACTGAAGTATCCTGTTGTTAATTATAATTAAAACTGGGTTTATAAACTGTATCAATAAACTAACAGTACTGTTTAGTCCTTTATAAATTTGGTCATTGAAAAATAAGTATTAATAGCATTAGATGAATATAGTGCTGCTTGGCAAGTCATTAAGAGAAAGATTTTATTTGGTCTAATACGTGAAGGCTCTTCAGGCTCTCTTTATAACATGTAAACCAAAAAGTACCAATATACCTTCATAAGTATATTCTGAGGGCTTTTAAAAAAAGCACCATAAACTTAAGGTACAAAAATAGCTAAGGGCCAGTAATGCCAGTGGCTCTGGAGCCTGAGATGGGAGGATCGCAGATCTAGGCCAGTCTGTAGCTCAGTGGTTAAGTTGTCCCTGGGTTCAATCCCCAGTACCAAAACAAAAGTAGCTAAGGATGCAAACTGGCTAACTAAAAGAAAAAACATTTTTAAAAATAAATGGAGTAATTACATTAAATATATTCACTCTGAATGTAATACCAAACAGTTTTGAAAAAGTTCAAATGATTCTGGCTTCACAACTGGAGAAATCTATCAAGTACATACAAGTGTCACTCAACAGCAATTTTTTTTTTGGGGGGGGGTCACATATCCCCTATTTCTATGAAAAATATTTAAATATATTTGCCTCAAACTATGTTTTACTTCTTTCAAGACTTACCTGAGTCTTAACTTTGTGACCATGGGTTTTCACTGAATGGCAGAGTTACCTCTTTCCCCTTTTAGAGCTTGTTTGGAGATGCTAGTTTCCTGCTGTGCATGGTGGTTCACACCTGTAATCCCAGAGACCCAGGAGGCTGAGGCAGAAGGATATCAAATTCAAAGCCAGCTTGGCACACTTAGACCCTTTCTCAAAATAAAAAATAAGAAAGGCTGGGGGCGTAGCTCAGTGGTAAAGCCTGAGTTCAATCCCCTGTACTGGAGCGGGGGAAAAGAAGCTACTTTCCAAGAAACTATATAATTAAGCCAGTTTAGTGACAAAACAGAGCAACTGTTTGAACTACACAATCAATTTCATTCCAATGGTGTCTAACAATACCAGGTACTCTGGCAGTTTTGCCTAGCTGGGCTAGATGAGATTATAGATGGTGTATAAATGTCTAGCACAATACACTATTATTATAAAACTGGAGCTTAGGTACTGTCAGTGTTGTGATTTTGACATTTGAGAAGTGCTAGGCAGAGAGCTTTGTGTGACACCCTAGTCATACTACAAAGGGAAACATCTGAGTCAGTCCTAGTGTGGAGCACAGGTGTGGCTTCAGTGTACACAGTATACAGATGACAGACAAGCTGTATTAATGAGAATTTATATAAAACACTCAGCCTAAGAAAACATAAATAAGGACTCAGACTTTTTTGTGTGAGGATATTTAGTTACTTTAAGTAATACAGTATACACTTTTTTATATTTCCATTTTTCATTATTTTTATTACTTATTTTGAGGTGGGGTCTTGCTCTGTTACCCAGACTGGTCTCAAACTTCTGGGCTTACATGATCCTTCTGTCTCAAACTCTATTGTGTGTCTTGTGTATGTATTCATATATATATATATACACACACATATGGATTTTTCCCCCCCTTTTTGATCTTGAGGATTGAACCCAGAGCCTCACTGCTGAGCTACATTCTGACCTAAAGTTAAGTCCTTTGGGATAAGGTACCTCCCTAATGACAAAATATCCAATGTTAGTTTTTTTTTTTTTTTTTTAAATGAATGAAAGCAAAGGATTATAAATATTTTGGCATTTTATGTTTCCTGGTATAGTTTGAGGGCTGATAAACTCAACAGACGTAGAGGCTCAGTGACCATTCTGACTATGCTTTGTATCTCTCCTTTCTCTCTTCTAGAAGATTTCATTAACTTTGGGATTAAAACAATATAATATCATCTTGTCACTGATCAAAGAAATCAAAGTGCTGATCAGATCACACTGATACCTGTGAGTGCCCCAAATTAAGTGATGAGTATGGGAGAGGGGCAAGGAGGTAGTAGGGGCACAGCCTGGGAGAGAGGACAGAAGAGAATGGTGTGACAACAAAAGGAATGGTTGAAGAGATGATACTTGTTTAACATTCTTGGCTTACCAAGCCAGATCTTGGAGACCAGAATAATCTCAGAGGTAAAAAAAAAAATCTCTTCTTTTATTGTAATGTTGAAGAGGAAAAAAAAAAAAAAGCCACGGATGGGTTATAAACATTAGGCAAAAACAGAGAGAAGCCAAATCAGGTCAATATAAAGTAATAAAACACAAAATAAGACATTGCAATACCATAATGATGGTATTCTATGTCTCAACAATTTAGAAGATGTCTATTTAAAATCTTGTCCCTCTATGCAAAATAAAAAATTATTTTAGTAAAGTTATCAACATATATACATACAAATAGAGAAACACATGAATAATGCAAAAGAGATTTATCAGTGATGTAATTTTGGCACTTTTACTTGGATTTTTAAAGAAAAGTGAATACAAACATCTTTGTACACAAATTCTCATTGTAGAGAAACAGGATGTAGAATTAAAAGGTGCAAACATCTCCCTTCTTAAAAATAACATTGAAACAGAGAACTTTACCTGTTAACCTTCAGGTTGGCAACTTCTACAAATCTGGCTTGATTGATCTAACTCCACAAGTTTAACAAAATTATTTTTGCTTATATCAGTGATACTGTGATATCCACTTCTAGTACATGTACCATTTGGCCAGAGGTCCATAAATAATAATAATGTTTTCAATGTAGAAATCTTAAAAGTTTTAAAGGGAAATACTGCTCAGTAAATAAATTCTCCTGGAATTTCTTGTAGCAAAGGTTCTTCAAATTTAAATCGTTTGGAGATGGCCTTTTGCTCCATTTTCTCTTTTTCAGACTGTCTGCATTGTCCTAAAGTATACGAAGCAACTACAATTAACTCCTCTGTCACAAGCGATTCCTCGGTTTCTGGTTTCTCAGTATCTGCTTTAATTTCAGGCACAGAATCACCTTGTTGGAAGGCATTTGCTTCTTCTAATGACTCTTTCGTCCTAAAAGAAGAATCTTGAATACTGCTCTGTGTCAACCATGGGTGTTTTAGACATTCTTCAGCAGTGGCTCGATCTCTGTATAAAGACAAATTTTCATACTTAGGACAACATAAAAACTTCGACTGAAATTCAGAGCACAAGGTTTACTGTGAATTCTGAATAAAACCAGAAGTTTTGAAAATTTGAGTACAATTGTCCATAATGTTGAAAAATAGTATTTTTAAGTAAAATAGTATTTTCTCTAAAAAGTTCTCTTGAGAGACCAGGATCAGACAGAAACTATCTACTAAGGACTGGCTGTCATTTCACTGTCAATTTCTACTAATGAATAGTGACACATCTGCAATAAAATTTTTCTAATTAATATTTAAATCTTAGTATAATGAGGTGTGCAGTACAGGTCAATATGTTATTCATTTTTATCAGTTTTCCTTTCAACACATATATTAGGCCAAACTAGATGGCTAGTTTCTTTTTTCCTGTTTGTTTGTTTTACAATACTGGGTATTAAACTCAAAGACACACTATCACTGAGATAAATTCCCAGCAATATTTACTTAGATATCGGGGGACTGAACCCAGTGGCATGTTACCACTGAGCTATATCCCCAGTCCTTTTTATTTTTTATTTTGGGATACTGTCTCACTAAATTGCCAAGACAAATTTACAATCCTCTTGCTTCAGCCTTCCAAATGGCTACTGGCTTGCACCACAGTGTCTGGTTAATTTAACTTCATGTCTACATTTTTGTGTCTTCATTTTGGGATTTCAGTTGTTGGAATACTTTTGTTCAGAGAAGACTACTCAAAAATTGACAAAAATCAGGCTAGGGGTATAATTTGATGGTAGAGGACATGCTTATTAACATGTGCCACGGCCATGGGTTCATTTCTCAGCTTCCCTCCCTCCCACCCAAAAAAGAAGATAAAGATGAATATTAATACTTACTCTGGTTTCTTAACTAAAAGTCTCTTGATGAAGTCAATAGCGGTTTCAGACACAACATCAAATTCTTCCTCAGAATAACTTAAATTCATCTGTGAGATGTTCAAGAATGTTTCCTGTTTATTATCACCTAAGAAAGGTGATATTCCTGTAAGCATGACATAGGTTAACACTCCAATGCTCCTAAATCAGAAAGAAAATAAAAGAAAACTTGGTATCATATTAATTTCTTGAAACCAATTTTTAAAAAATATTTATTTTTTAGTTGTAGTTGGACACAATCTTTATTTATTTTTATGTGGTATTAGGGATCGAACCCTGTGCTAGGTGAGAGCTCTACCACTGAGCCACAACCCCAGCCCCTCTTGAAACCAATTTTGTCAATTTTTCTTTCATAAATAACTCTTACCACATATCTGTTGCCATGCTGATAGGATCATAACTAAGGATTTCAGGAGCTAGTATCAAAAACAGAAGAAAATATTTAGTTTTGTGGAAAAAATGCCTAATTTGCTCATAGAGGTAAAAAATTAAAGTAAGCCTTAGAAACTAATAAAGCACTATCATCAAGGTTTGGGTTAAAACAAAGTAAATTAACACTATAATTCAAATTAGTATGAATTAATATGAAGTCTAAACTAGATGTTTGTAGTTAACTTTTCATATTTCCACCCTTGTGGTTGAGTCCTAGTATTTAAAATGAATGCCTAAATACTGCAATTTGAATTTGAATGCCTAAATACTGCAATTTATACTGACAATTTTTGAGACCTTTCTCTTCTCACACCATCTAATTGGGCATCATATTGTCTATTATAATAATAGCCTTGAAATCTCTCTCAGAGCACCCACACCTCTTCTGTTCCAATCCAGTACATAGCACTTTCACCTCTCATAGCTCAGGGATAGAACATATGCTTAAGCATCCACGAGGCCACCAAAAAAAAAAAAAAAAAAAAAAGAAAAGCAAACTTTTTTAGTCTTATAGGAAAAACATCACCAATTTGGTATTTTACTTTTGAAAGTGTTCCATTTTTAAATTTAATCCACAGGAATTAGTTAAATTTTTTTTTGTGTGTGTGTGTGTGTGCGGTCCTAGGGATCAAATTCAGGGCCTCATGCATGCTAAGCAGACACTCTACCACTGAGTCACATCCCCAGTCCAGGAATGAATCTTTGATGGAGGAATTTTAATATAGCAGATGGCTGGCCCCCTTTGAATGTGAGTTCCCTGATGAAGGCGATGCCTGATGTTAAACACAAAACCATCTCACTCTTTCAAATACTTACCCACATATTCAGGAGTACCCATAATTTCTCGTAGCTCTTCACTGTTCTTCATTATTCTTGAAAGGCCAAAATCAACTATCTTAACGTCACCCAATGGAGAGTCACTTGTCAGCAGAATATTCTGAGGCTGAAAAATATATCCCCCCAAATATTAATAAAACCATGATAACACAAAACATGTAGCCCACAGAACACAAATTTTACCTATAAAATTGAATACTGAGGAACTTAACAGTAAGAAGTCATTTATGAAATAAATACTTTAATAACATACTTCCTATATGTAAGGCAGCAGCTTGGTACTCTTCCCTCTACTGGTTCTTCCTTAGTATATAAATATGCTTGTTAAATACAAACCAAAACCACTTATAACAACTATCCCTGATGACCCTGAATGTCTTCCTGGTTAGCATACTCTCCCTGCTACTCCCTCAAAGCTCAGCTTCTTGAAAGCATGGTCAAGTGCACTTGCTGGCACTCTTCTTTTTTTGTAGTGCTGGGGATTGAACCCAGAGCCTTGCTCATGCTAGGTAATTGTTCTACCACTGAGCTAAACCTTCAGCCTCCTTGCTATCACTTTTCATTCCAGCTAAATCTGTTTTGTGCCTTCTACTAAATCTGCCCTCATAAGAGGTCACAATAACTTTAATAACCAAAGACCCACAAAATTCTGTGCACATCTTTCAGGCACTATTTGCATAAATTGACTGCTGCTTTTGGGTACTGCTGGTTATTTCTGAAATTCCCTTTTGTTTTCTCCCTGTTGGATCTCTTGTCCCTCCATAGATCCTTCACTATTTTCTCAGAACTTTTTCATCTTGCCCTCCTTTTAAATGTTGATATTTTCCAAGATCTTGTCCCAAAACTCAGCATTCTACTTTTGAGCCATTTCATCTGTCCCCAAAGCTTCAGGGGCCACTTACATGCAGATAACTTCCACTCCAAGCTCTTTCAAGACTCAGATCCAATTAAAATCAGATCTCAGCATGTGGCTGAATGTTACATCCTCAATTCCTTACAAGCCTTCTATTGAGTAAACATCTTGGAACAGAAGTGCAACCCCCAGCCCCAACAAACAGATTTCTCTCTTCTGTATTGCCAATTTCAATGCCCAAGTAAAACACTGGAAAAATCACTCTAAAGTTCTCTTTCATTTTCCACATTGTATGAGGTCACCTACAAGTTGTGCCAATTCTATTTCCTAAATCTCAATATCCCCATTTGCTAAGAGCCACAGCCAAGTAATATGATGCATGGCATTTTTGGTTGAAAGGTGATGCCAGCAAGCCATTGAGATGATATGATTATGTTAAGATTTGCATTCATATGGATATTGGACTCCTGCTGTTCACCTCAGCCTGCTACAGGACTCCTGGAGAGTTCCCATTGGTTGGGGAAGTGCGGTAGGAGGGAATTCCGGAGGAGGAACTTCCTCTTGGGATCCGGGAGAATGCCGCGTGCCTCAATCTTCCCGGGAGCTTACGGGGCATTGGCGGCAGTTTCAAAAAATAAAGTTTGTTCCTGCTTCAGTGGCTCGTGATTTTGTGCCCAGCCAGACTGCGGCACCCATTGCTTAAAGTTTTAGTGCTCATTATTTCACATCTAGATCACTAAGATGGCCTCCTGTCTGTGGTTTTCTCCACCTTCAACCCACGCCCCATCATACAATACAGTACAGTTGTCCTTCAGTCTGTGGGGGATTGTTTCTAGGACCCTCTGTGGATACTGCAATCACTGAAATCTGCAAATGCTTAAGTACCTTAGTGTGAAAGGATCTCGTGTTTACAAACAACTAATGCATATTCTACCATATACTTGACTTATAATGCCTAACACAATGTAAATGTTACATAGATATACTTGTTACATTGTATTGTTTAGAAAATGACTAGGAAAAAAAAAATCTGTATATGTGTTATGGTTTGGATATTAGGTGTCCCCTGAAAAGCTCACGTTAGGCAATGCAAGAATGTTCAGAGGTGAAATCATTAGAATATGAGAGCTATAACCTCAGTGGATTAATCCATTAATAATTTGAATGGATAGTAACTGTAGATAGGTGGGGTGTGGCTAGAAAAGTATGTTGCTGGGGGCATGTTCTTGGGGATTATATTTTATCCCTGGTTTCGCTCTACTTCCTGGCTATCATGAGCTGAGCAGATTTCCTCTGCCATACCATTCCACCATGATGTTCTGCCTTACTTCAGGCCCAGAGCAATGGAGTCAGGTGACCATGGACTGAGACCTCAGAAACTGTGTGTCTCAAATAAACTTTTCCTCCTCCAAGTTTTCTTGTCAGGTCTTTTGGTCATAGAGATAAAAAGCCAGCTTACACAAAATGTTCAGTGCAGATGCAATTTTTTCCCCAAATATTTTCAATCTATGGTTGGCTATATCCATGAATAAGAAACCCTTACATACAGAGAATAGGCTGTACTCTTCCCATAATGCAAGTCTGGTTATGATGCTATAGGTCACTACTATCACCAACAGACACCACACTCTCAAACAGGGTGGAAGTTAGGATGTATGTGGTGGTCAAGGTCAATGTTTTACCCAAGGGAAACTGACTAAGATAATTTCACATAAAAAGATGAGCAAACTTATTATGGACTAGAATATAAAGTCATATAAAAATTTTTGAAAAAATTTTGTTTTCACTTCAGAAAGTCTGTAATTCCTGATTTTTGACAATAAGGACATTTCCGGAGGTGAACTGAGAAGCACGGGTACTGACAAATTCTATAAAACTTGCTCAGCAATCAGTGTTTATGATCTGGCTCCTGAGTCCTTTCCAGGATCAATCTCTTGTCATTTCTCAAAGGCACTCCATGTTCCAAGTCAGATTGGCTGTAATCCTGAATAAGACACATGGTCTCACACCTCATGCCTCTGCACATGCACTTCCTCTCCTTCTTTGACAAATTCATTTTCATCACTCTGTGCACAGTGGATCCATAAAGCCCTCCCACTTCTCTACCTTCTTCTCCCTCCTTCCAGGCAGGAGTCGAGGGTTGTCCCCTCTCATGCATGGCAAGCTCATTGCATTGTTTCCTTTTATTTTTTATTTATTTTTTATTGGTTGTTCAAAACATTACAAAGCTCTTGACATATCATATTTCATACATTAGATTCAAGTGGGTTATGAACTCTCATTTTTACCCCAAATACAGATTGCAGAATCACATCGGTTACACATCCACATTTTTACATAATGCCATATTAGTAACTGTTGTATTCTGCTACCTTTCCTATCCTCTACTATCCCCCCTCCCCTCCCCTCCCATCTTCTCTCTCTACCCCATCTACTGTAATTCATTTCTCTCCTTGTTTTTTTTTTTCCCATTCCCCTCACAACCTCTTATATGTAATTTTGTATAACAATGAGGGTCTCCTCCATTTCCATGCAATTTCCCTTTTCTCTCCCTTTCCCTCCCCACCTCATGTCTCTGTTTAACATTGTTTCCTTAAATGTTAATTTTTCTGTCTCCTTCATATCAATCTGGTTCTCTAGATGTACAAAATGAATGTTCACGCTTTTTCTTCTTCCACTCACATCCAACTGTTCCATTTGACTTCTGTTCTCTCATTCTAAGTCACAAAATCCAGGGCTTTCTTCAAGACTACTTTGAGTAGTACTTCACATTGTGGCCCATTCCTTCCTTGTTCACATATTCTTTTCCTCTTGGATTCCATGACAAAACAGTGCCTAGTTTTCTTCCTACTTCTGGATGCTTTTTCTGTTTCCTTCCTACCTCTGGCTGCGTTTTCTGTTATCTACCATTATCTAGTTCCCTGAAAGATGGATTTCTCATGGCTTGATCTTGAGATCCCTTTCTCTTCTCACTCCAAACTCTCACCTTGCAAAGACTAATGCAACCAAAGCTTAAATACCACCTACAGCTTATGACTCAGAAACTTTTATCTCTTTCAGACTTCTTAACCAACTGCTTACCTAATCTCTCTTCTCTGATATCTCAAAGGCATCTCAAATTCAGCATGATCAAAACCAGACTCATCTACCCAATCACCCCTCCTATTGTTTTATATAATTAAAATTTTTATGGGTTTATCAAAGTCTGAATTCAGAAACCAAGAAAGGGAAGAATGTTCAGGTTCATGAGGGCAGGAGCTGCAGTACTGATCACTGTGTCAGCGCCTACTATACACTGATATTTGCTGGGTAAATGAAAAGGAGAAACATAAACATAAAAAAAAATGCAGATAGCCTATTTTGTCTTAGGGATGTTAGTAGTATAAATATTACTAATAAGAAATCCCCACTGTCGAAGAGTTCATAATTGTAAGAGAAAAAGAAGGATCTATGATGCACAGGATCTCCTGTGTGCTGGGCTCTGACAGCAATATACCAAGTACTTGGGAAATAAATATATAAAAGGGATTAATTCTACCTCGGAAAATTACAGATGAGGTATGTAAGCAGACCCTGAAGGATAAAAAGGACTTCATCATTTATTCAACAAATTTTTATTGACTGCTTTCTAAGCTAGGCCTTTGGAAAATAACAGAAAACAAGGCACGAGTCCCCTCTTGGAGCCTTACTTTTTTTTTGGTGGCAGGGTAGGGAGTCCTGGGGATTGAACCTAGGACCCCAAGCATGCTAAGCATGTGTTCTACTACTGAGCTATAGCCCTTGCCTGGAGTCTTACATTCTAATGAGGGCAAATAAATACAAACATATAATTTCAGGTAGTTTGAAGTGCTATGGGGACCTCAAAAGTAGGGTGATTGGTGAAAGGGGATGTTAGGAGTGTGCACATCTCATGCTATCTTTTTGAGAGTCAGAGGAACCAGTCATGGCAGTAATCTTCAGGGTTAAATCGGTAGGGGACATCAAGGCAGAGGGAGGAGCAAGTACAAAGGCCCTGAGGCAAGGACAAGCTACTGGAGCAGGATCTCAAGAAGTCCTGTATAGATGGAGAAAAGCACAAAGTGGAAGGAGCAGCAGTAGTGGTGGGCATGAGAATGGAACCAGGGAAACGGGAATTACACGGTTTCATAGGCCATTCTGGGCCAAATGACACAAACCATATCCAAATCATAGTAAATGTGGCATATCTTGTGTCATATTTTTTATGTTACTCCTGCTTTCAAGCAGTATACTGATGCTTAAACCATCAGTGCTTAAACTTAAATCCAAAATGGGAAAGTCCCAGCATCTAGTCCATTTTTAACTATGCACACAACAGGTGGAAAAGTTAATAACCAACACTGCTAAAAGACCAAACTAGTAAAAGACAAAAAGCACCAGATTTTAAAACTGAATTTCTTGGGCTATTTTTGGCCAGTCCTCCCCTGTCCTCTAGATTTACTAAAAGCAGGCCACTGTGTTGAATGAGTAATCCACCAAATTACTGAGACTATTTTGGGATGGTAGTTAGTGTTGTTCTGACTTTGCTAGAGTTACTGCTTCTCAGACTTGTCAGTCTTGCAACATGTTCTATATGTTAAATAATTGTGCTTTACCTTAATCATAGTTTTTCTTTTCCATTTTCATGGACTTACAAACTTACACGTTCACAGACTCCTAAATCTCTCAAAGAAATTCCCAAGCTGATTTTAAGGTATTTGACTAAACCTTCAGTGAATCAGTGTTTTGAAAAATTGATAATTTTGTACTGAAGCCAAATAATGTCATTTTTCTCATTTAAAGGGTTCTTCTAACAGAAAATTTCATTTTTAACTATAATGGAGACTAAATTGTAATCAAAGTTACAAAATATATTGGAATTATCAATTTCCACATAATTAAAACATAAGAAAATATATTTAGCTTTGAAGCAGTCTGGGAATTTTTTTTTCTTCTTTTTCTTTTTTTTTTAAATAGCTTGGTCTTTCAAGCTCTTCCAGAGATGCAGAGTCAACATTGTAAGTACCAATTCTCACTGGACAGACAGATAGATGTTAAAGGTATAGGACAATAGACTCTTTGTCCAGACTCAACGGAAATGACCTTTTGGCAGAAATCACTCCTGACTGCTGCTCCATTGCAACACCAACTCCATCTCAGCCATTCACTTAGAAACATGTTCCCTTCAGCAGTTTACTGAGTGACATGTTTGACTGCACACATGTGAAGTGAGGGTGGAAGAAATGCTGATAGCTTCAGACCACCTTGTCTTCTAGTTCTTCTGGGTGTAGGAGACAAAGATAGTCTAGTTCCCAACATCAAAGGCCCATCATAAAGCCCTCTATTAAATTTGGCAAAGATTTCTACACTGAACTGCATGAGGGAGAAAGGAATATGATTTATATTGAAGGTATTGGGGAGAAAGGGATATAATTTCCTTGTGTAAATACACAGTTGAACCTGGTATTCAAGAACTTAATATTCACCTTGACTGCTTTCAAGTGACATCAAAGATCCATGACACATGGTGTTGGCAGCCTGTCTGACTTGCTACTTAATTAGTTCCTGAATAATGGTCACAGATTGAGCTGTCATAAGTTGAAAGACCATTTCCTATAGGTGCAATGCTATTTAATTTGGGATTCTGTTCCTAGAAGACCTTTTTACATCATAAAGTTGGTAAAACACCATAAAAATAAAACATATGATTTTACAAAGTTAAGAGTATAAAGCCAAACTGAAAAAAAATCTATAGTATATAACATTTCTTTTGGGAATTCTTCTTCATGGCTAATATTAACTGAGACTTCTTATGAAGCTGGGACTGCAGAGGTCATGTCTTCCAGGTCAGTATTCCTGAAGGGAGCAGAGGTGAGAATTTCCTGTAGCAAGGATCTCTGAAGTTCTTACGCATAAGAGACACCAAAGGAGGAAAGCAAAACCCTAGCTCCACCTCTAATGCTAGAAAGGGTTTTAACTAGGGGATCTGTAGCATTAACATCCAGGCACTACAGATAGGTACACAAATATCCACACTAGCTGTCAAAACAAGGTCATAGTTACTATCATATGGCTATTGTGCTGTGACTGCTCATGTTTGCCACAGTACTAAAAAATGAATTTAAGTTGGCATCTTTCAATAAAATAATAAGGAAGCTTCCCAACTGTTTTCTTTCCTTGGTGCTTTTCTGTAGGAAACCAGTATGTAAATGGATATCTAATATCCTTCCTCCTGATTTCAAATGATACATTATCAAGGTTGTTTTAGAAGTCAATCTGCAGATTACACATACTTATATTTCTTCCCTCAGAGTGTTACTTCATGCACTGTTATTTACACACTATGAGGTATATATAAGGAGTTATGGAGTGTGTGCTATAGTGGCCCCTGGACCTGAACTATCAGTATCACCTGGTTGGACCTGCATCAGAATTTCTAGCACTGGTGGATGGCAATATGTTTTAACAGGTTCTTCCAGCCAGTCTGATGCACAAGAGAGTTGGAGAACCACTGTACTAAATAAAGCATCTACCTTCTGCCAAAAGGGAGACCATAGCAGAGATCAAGGTGGATTAATAGATGATGTGGAGAGAGATGAGGTTGCCATTTAGGGGTCTAGGGGTTTCAGTCTTCTTAGACTGCCTTCCTCCTTCCTAATCCCAACCCCTCTGGATGGGGCTCAAAAGGCAGTATCTATGTCATTCCATTTTATTGCCATTCTCAGAAAGGTGAACTGAATGCGAGAGAAAACTCAAGTACTGGTAACACTTTTTGAGCCCTGACTATGGTAGTAACTGAAGATAGAATTATTCCTAGACTTACTGCCAATAAAATTCCCTTTTTAGCTTACCCCAGTTTCAGGTGGCATTTTGATCACAGGATATACTGTTCTTTTTCTTTTTTTCCTCCTCCATCTACAGGGGATTGAACCCATGGGTACTTAACCACTGAGCCACAACCCCAGCCCCTTTTAAATTTTTTTTACTTTGAGACAGGACCTCACTAAGCTGCTAAGGCTGGCTTGAATTTGTGATGCTCCTGCCTCAGCCTCCTGAGCCACTGGTATTATAGGGGGATGTCACCACACCTGGCTCTTTGACAATTTTAGATGAGAGATCTACTTGCCTCCACTTTCTTGGATTCTCCCCACTTATTTTATTTACTCCTGCCTGCCTAACTTTACAGAACACTGCTTTTCAAACACTGCTACTCAAAAGTCCTCTCTCTTAATAACAACAGAAATTCCTATTCTTCTCTAATTACCTAAATCCTAACTTTTTTTTTTTTTTTTAAAAGTCTAACTCAAGTTCTATTTCCACCAGGAAATCTTTATCCACTCCAGCAATATTCCAAGTTCTGTTTTTTGAGACTGTACCTTGTTACCTAATAAAGCCCACAGTCTTGATACATATTTAATAAATTCCTGCTAGATACTTTACATTTGGAATGCCAGTTCTTATCAATCTCAAATTGTAAATAATTCAGACCTTACCTTCAAATCTAGATGAACTACATCATGAGTGTGTAAAAAGTGGACACCTTCTAAAATCTGTCTCATGAGTCTTTGAACATCTTTTTCTTTAAAAGCTTCTTCTCTGTCTGCAACACATTGGTTAAAGATTTCACCTCCAGCAGCACTACAGAAAGATAAAATTAAAATATTAATCATAAGAAAGGATGTGGTAAACATATACAACAAAGTTAGAGTAAATTAGCTGGGCGTAGTGGTGCATGCCTGTAATCCCAGCAGCTTGGGAGACTGAGACTAGAGGCATGAGTTCAAAGCCAGCCTTAGCAACAGTGAGGTGCTAAGCATCTCAGTGAGACCCTATCTTTAAATAACACACACACAAAAAATAAAATAATAATAGAGCTGGGGATGTGGCTTGGTGGTGCCCCTGAATTCAATCACTAATACCAAAAAAACCATAAACAAAAACCTTAGAGTAAATTAATCACAACCTGGCAATACTATATACTTGTAAAATGGATTTGATGACCTGAAGCAAAATACAATATGAGCAGAGTCAACTCACTCTCAAACATCTGGAAATGTACCATAATGCAATGTATCATCCACACAGCCTTTTGCACATACAAGTCACAATTTGCCAGTAACACACAGAACTATACTTCAATTACATTTTGTCTGAAAAAATTTTCCTAATCACAGTTTATTGTCATGAGTCCTCAGCTCATTACTACCATTCACAATAATATTCACTAGAGATCAATTTTCATGAATATATTTAAATTCACATAAATATTTACATAAACACACACAAATTAACAAATAAATTTACAAAATTACATAAATCTAAGAGAAATTTATTAGTTCTTTCCAGTATGGTGTTTATCTACAACCTTAGACTTTTTGTTTTTTATTTTTTATTTTAAGACAGGGTCTTGCTAAGTTACAGAGGCTAGCCTTGAATTTGTGATCCTCCTGCCTAAGCTTCCCCAGTTGCTAGAATCACAGTTGTGTGCCACCATGCCTGGCTTATTTATTCTTTTTTAGCAAAGGATCTTCTCTCTGATTTCTGAAGAACTTAAGTAGTTCACTTGAACACAATATTAATATAACTATAGTTTTCTGAAAAACTTCAAGGATGTACTTCAGATGCAGAATCCTATAAAAGCTTTAAAAGCTGCCTTAGTTATCAGTGAAATTACACTCCTCTCAGTACAATATGAAATCATGTAACTTTTTTACCTATGTAAATATATTCTTTACCCATTAACTGAAATAATGGTAGGACCATGATCCTTGAAAGGAGGGAAGCAAGGTGAGCCCTTTTATTTCCTTGGCTTCTTACCTGGAGGCAATTTATGGACAGTGGTACAGGGTGGGGTAGGAACCCAAGGAAAGTATGGCAGCCTTGTTAAATAGAGAAGATAGACTGTGAGTTTGACAAGGAAGTTGGAATTTTCAGGTAGAGTACCAAACAGGAGGGAGGGGACTACACAGAGAAAGACCTCCAGAATCTGCTTTGTAGTATTTTGAAGTTTTAGGCAAATTACTTACATACACATGCACAGAATTTAACCCTTCAAGGTTAATCAAGAACTGAAAAATATTTATAAACTGAATAATTCCCAGTGTTCACATAGGACCAGGTCAGAATCTGAATTTTGTCCATTTGGAGTAGAAACATCACCCTAAACACTCAGGACCATCAACAGGCCTTCCCAAGAGGGCCATCTGTACTATTAAGGCTAAATTAGCCTTACAGCTGCCTTAACTAAGCTGACTCACACGTAAATTAACTGCCTGCCAAAAACAAACTTCACCATTCTTTAATGGAATGAAATCTACTCCATACCCTTACTATTCTAAATGTATGACATCCTACCCCAAATTTCTAGACATCTGAAACTACCACAAATTACAACCCATACCAATACAATAATACAATAAAAACAGACCTAGAAATGACAAAGGTGATGGAAGTGGTAGATAAGGACAGGTATTACAAAGATATTATAAAGATGTCCAAGGATTTAAAGTAAAATATAGATATAACAAAGAAGATATGGAGGACATGAAAGAAAGAACAACACATAGAATTTCTAGAGATAAAAAAAAAATACAGCAACTAAAATGAAAAATTCTCTCATCTTTATAGATTAGACCTGCAGAAGAATCAGTGAATTTTAGGAGAAAACAGTAGAAATATCCAATGTGAATCAAAGAATACAAATACCCAAGTAGCTCAATGAACCCCAATCAGGATAAACACAAATAAACAAGGATGTGATGCTTAAATTCTTGAAAATCAAAGATAAAGGAAAAAAACATCTCTAAAAGGGCACATTCATAGGTGAAACAAGGTAGGGATATCCCAAGCTTCTTGTCATAAAAAAAGGAAAAAGAAGATGGAATTATACCTTTAAAGTCCTGGTGAGGGGTAGGAACCATGGGTGTGGAATATGCCTAGAATGCAGGGTATGAAGATGAGAGAGAACTAAGAGCAGAGCATGGAATGAAAGCTAAATAATCTGAAAAATCCTGATAGGGCAATGATGGCTGATACATACTAAATGCTGCCTTCCCCAGGATGCACTCTCCCTAACTGCCCAGAGAGTAAGGCAGCATGGCATACGGCCAAGAGCAGAGCAAAGACTTTGTAATGCACAGTACTGGACCAAACTGGCTCTGCTACTTGTATGACTACAGGTTGATAATTTCTCTGAGTTTTTTTTTTTTTTTTTTTTTTTTTGTAGTGGGGATGGAACGCAGGGGCACTCAACCACTGAGCCATATCCCAAGCCCTATTTCATATTTTATTTAGAGACAGGGTCTGAGTTGCTTAGTACCTCACCGTTGCTGAGACTGGCTATGAACTCAAAATCCTCCTGTCTCAGCCTCCCAGGCTACTGGGATTACAGGTGTGCACCAGTGCACCCGGCTCTCTTTTGAGTTTTGCCTCATATAAAATGTTCTTTTTTTTTTGGGGTCCTGGGATTAAACTCAGGGGCACTCGGCCATTGAGCCACATCCCCAGTCCTATTTTGTATTTTATTTAGAGACAAGGTCTCACTGAGTAGCTTAGTGCCTTGCTTCTGCTGAGGCTGGCTTTGAACTCGAAATCCTTCTACCTCAGCCTCCCGAGCCGCTGGGATTACAGGTGTGCCACACCGCACCTGGGAAGTTTTGCCTCATATAAAATGTGTACCTAATACACTGTGGCTACTATATTTCTTCTATGTTCACATGACATCTAATAAGAATTTCTGGTAAAACACCAATATTGCTGTGTCATTTATTTCTATCACCTTTGCTAGATTTTTAGCACCTGAAGGAAAGGGGGCTGTATTATTTTCACTGTTATTATAATTAGCACATATTAGTATCTAGTACATACAGCAGTGCTATTGGAATGAATAAAAAATACAGTGATCATAACCTGCCTGTTTCCATGGCATCGATCTATTGATATGATTGAGAATTTTGGTATCTCAGTATTCAGAGTATATTTCTAAAACTTTCTCTTTAAACTAAAAGTAGAATACAATAATTTGGGGCCAAATTATACCAATTTTATTTCTAAAAACCTAATCACTGAAACAACAGAAGCCACTAAAGCTTCTAAACAAATGAATAATATCAGCACCTTTATGTTTCTATTATCTATCTAACAGTAGTAGAAGGGATGCTGGAGACTTAGAGATTCATTACACATGAGGTTAAAGGAGATAAATGAAGGATAGTTTCAAGATTTCTAGCATGAGCAATGAAATAAATGGGGATACCAATAGAAATAGGGAATAAAAGAAAAATGGGCATTAACAGAGCAATGCAAGAATAATGACCCTGAATTAACAATGATTCATGGTTGGATACATATACACTCAGTATGCAGCTGAAGCTTAGAAGTGAGGCTGAGATTGGAAGATTTGGAAATAATTAGCGTATAAATAATAGCCGAAGCCATGTAAAATACTACCATCTGGAGTAAATATACAGAACATAATTGTATGACAAAAGTCAACACTGGGGGCTGGGGTTATGTCTCAGTTTTAGAGCACTTGCCTAGTATGTGTGAGGCACAGAGTTTGATCCTCAGCACCACATAAAAATAAATAAATAAAATAAAGGCACTGTGTCATCTACAACTAATATATATATATAAAAGTTAATTAAAAGTGCAATTTTGGGAAACTCTTACATTTATATAGGTTAGGGTATAACCGAGAGGAGAAAATTAAAAACAAAACAAAATGGAGCTGTTGAGAACCAAGAAGAGTTTAATTTCAAGAAAAAATGTATAACGTCACATGTTTAAAGAGAGTAAGAAGTAGAAGGAATACTAAAATGAGATTGATTTTATCAAACAGGAATGGTGACCTCATTAAAGTTTTAGAAGAGCAGATAGCATTAGAATGAAAGTGGACGAGAACTGGCATATGAACAGATAAATGTAACTGACGGGAAGGTGAGGAAAATTATAAATTGAAACTATTCTTTAAGAAGCATGACAGTAAAGAGAAAGCCAGCACAATAGTTTAAGTGGAAGAGGGAGAATTTTAGAAGACAATGAAAAAATAGAAAACAGAGGGAAAAGAACTACCAAAGGAGGGGGGACTGAAACTCTGAAAGAAGTTATGTAACTTATTAAAAATCAAAACACACGTCCAGAAAAGAAAGGATGAGAATTAAAGAACATGGACAGGGGTTTTAGCCTTGGCATTGAGTAATTGAATCTGTCTTCAAACAGATGGGAAAAAGTCTGAGACAGTAAAAACAGAGATACTCAAGAGGAGTAAGAGATGCTCAGGGGAATGTGTGTCTAATGGCCTTATTTTCTCCATCTAGGGACAAAATTGCCAGGGATCTCACAAAAGCTGAGAAGTAGGTGACACAGTAAGCATGGTAAAGGTATTTATGAAGAACATCATTGAAAAATGAACTGGAAAATCCTTTCCAGAGAACCAGACCCTGCACATTATTACAGAGAAGTGGCATCCCATAAAGGAAGTACAGACCATCAAACAAACTTAACTGAAGGAAGACAATACTTACTATTCCAGAACCAAGATCATTTCTGATGGAGTTTCATAAACTTCGTGTAAATTAATGACCCAAGGATTGTCCTGTGCTAGTTCAAGTACAGCAATCTCATGAATAATTTCCATCCGACAGTCTTGGCCTTTTCTTCTTTTTCTCATGAACTTGGCTGCAAATTCTTTTCCAGAATCTTTCTTTATACATTTCCTCACCACTGCAAACTTACCCCTGGAATTAAATACAAACATTCATTGTTAAAACCAATAACTTTCCAGAGATGGCATATATTAATACAAATTTCTAAATTCCCATTATTGGATATTCAAATTTAGCTCATTCAATCACGAAATAGCAATATCACTTGGGATATTGATTTAGATTTATCAAATAAAATATAATTTATAAATCTGCAAAAATCAGCTACTGTGATTTGAATGTGTCCCCCTAGGTTCATGTGTTGGAAATTTAACCCCTTGTAATAAAGAGTTCAGAGATGGAGCCTTTAGAGGTAATTAGTACACTGATGACACTATCATTGGGATGGGTTCCTGATAAAGGAGTGAGTGTGGCACCCTTTACATTCTCTTGAGTTAGTGATCTTGCCTCTCCACCATGTAATGAAACAAGAAGGCCCTTGCCAGATGTGAACCTTCAATCTTAGAATTCCCAGTTTCCAGAACTCTGAGCCAAGCCAGAAATTATGGAACACTACTGTAATTCCTGCTGAGACAGCATTTTTACAAGTTTGAGGCCAACCTGGGCAACTTGGCAAAACCCTTTCTCAAAATAAAAACAAAAAAGGGCTGGGGATATACCCGTGTGTGTAAGGTGCTGGGTTCAATTCCAAGTACAGTATAAAAACAAAACAAAACAAAATCCTGAGCCAAATATGTTTCTGTGCTTTATAAACTATCCATTTTGTCGTATTCTGTTATAGCAGCACAAAATGTGCTTAGATCATAATCAAATATTAAAGTCAATATTTTTTGCAGAGTTACACATAAAATAACTCCATTTTTGTACATTTATGCATAAATGATTTAATCTTTAAAAATATAAGCCAGGCACATTGGCGCACGCCTGTAATCCCAGTGGCTCATAGGCTGAGGCCGGAGGATCTGAGTTCAAAGCCAGTCTCAACAAAAGTGAGGTGCTATGCAACTCAGTAAGACCCTGACTTTGAATAAAATACAAAATAGGGCTGGGGATGTGGCTGAGTGGTTGAGTGCCCCTCAGTTCAATACCTGATTTATTTATTTACGAACCATAAATAAATAAATAATAAAAATACACTTTACTTTTTAATAGAAATTGGCCACAAGATTCCTTAATATGAATTTCATCGTTATCTAATTAAATGTGAAGAACAGTATCACCTTCCAAAATGATATCAATCATGATATAATTCTAAATATAGCACCAGCAGGAAAAGTCTCATTATAGAGACATTATGGCTCTACAGTTTGTCCTTAAACTAATAAGCGGGTCAAACAGGGGAATAAGGATAGCATATTGATTAAGGTTATAATCTCTGGACTTGCATCCCACAACTGGTATTTGACACATCTTAGGCAATTTATTTACCCTCTTAAACTCTCTTGTTTCTTATCTGTACAAGTGATGCAAAATCTGCTTTTGAGTTATGATAATTAAAGTACAATCATTCCTTGATATCCATGCAAGACTGGGTCCAGGATCCTCTGCAGATAACAAAACTAAGGATGCCTTATATAAAATGGTGTCCTTAAAATGTGGTATACATACACAATAGAATATTACTCAGCCTTAAAAAAGAATAAAATTATGACATTTGCAGGTAAATGGATGGAACCAGAGAATATCATGGTAAGTGAAATAAGCCAATCCCCAAAAACCAAAGGCTGAATGTTTTCTCTGATAAGTTGTCAGTGATCCATAGTGGGGGGTGGGGGAATAGGGAAGAATGAAGGAACTCTGGATTGTGCAGAGGGGAGTGAGGGGAGGGCTGCAGGGATGGGAAGGACAGTAGAATGACAGACATTATTGCTGTATATACATGTATGATTACACCACTGGTGTGACTGCACCATGTATAGCCAGAGAAATGAGAAGTTGTGTTCCATTTGTTAATAATGTGTCAAAATGCACTCTACTATCTTGTATAATTAATTAGAATTTACAAATTTTAAAGAAATCGTGTACTTTTTTGCATACAACCTATATACATCCTCTTGGATACTGGAATCATCTCTACATTGCAAATAATACCTAATACATAGTGACTATAGTTTTAGGAAAAATGTCTATACATGTTCAGTACAGATTTTTTTTTTTTTGGTACCAGGAATTGAACCTAAGGGTGCTTAACCACTGAGTCACATTCCCAGACCTTTTTATTTTTTATTTTGAGATACGGTATTGCTAAGTTACTTAGAGCCTTGTTAAGTTGCTGAGGCTAGCTTTGAACTTGTGATCCTCCTGCCACAGCCTCTCAAAGCCACTGAGATTACAGGTGTGTGCCACTGCGCCTGACAGATGCATTTTTTCCCTTAATCATTTCAGTCCACAGTTGGTTGAATCCATGGATATGGAGGACTGTATGTATATAAAATGCATGTCACTTGTTTAGTATAGTCCTCACCACAGGGTAAATTCTAATCACCTGTAAATATCCACTGAATCCTTAGCAACTTGGAAATCATACAGTTTTTACCTAATGCCAAGGGCCAATGTCTTCTTTCAAACTATGAGGTAATCTCTCTTGCCACTGCCACCTATTATGATTTTAATAATGTTTTCATAACAAGCTTAACCATGACTTCAACTGAAGGGCTGGAGTCTGAGTCCTCCACAGAGCAAGCAGTACAGAATAGACTCCACTCTTTCCCACATGATAGTCCATCAGATATTATCTATCTAGGAGAAAGAGGACCTGTGGGGTTGAAAAGTCTACATATGTTCAGTTTTAACTAATTCTACTATAGTTTTCCCAGGCAGTATTCTCACTAAACATGAATGTGTATTATTGATCATTTATTCTTTTTTTTCTTAATATTTATTTTTTTAGTTATAGGTGATCACAATATCTTTATTTTATTATTTTATTTTTATGTGGTACTGAGGATCAAACCCAGTGCCCCATACATGCTAGGTGAGCGCTCTAACACTGAGCCACGGCCTGATCATTTATTCTTTTACTCATATCATACTGTCTAAATTAGTGTCTTGATATCTAGTAGTAAAAATAATCTTCATTATTATCCTTTGAAATTATATTTGCTATTTTATCCTTTTTCATTTCCATATAAATTTTTGAATCATCTTGCCAATCTCCACAAAAAATATTTGTTGGGATTTAAAATGAAACTGCATAGATTCTAGATTATTTTGGGGAAGAATTTATGTTTTATAATATGGAGATTTCTAAGTCCATGAACATGGAATATCTGAGTAATTTAGGTAATTTTTTTGTTTTTTGCATATATTTCACTGGGTTTACTCTTAAAAGTTTAATATTTTTAAAATAGTTGTAAATGATGTTATGTAAGCATTAATTTTCTAATCATTTATCACTGTTATTCGGAAGTACAGTTGATTTTTTCATACTATCCTGTATCCAATGACTACATATTAATCTTAATAGTTAATTATAGACTTTCTTTGGATTTTCCATGCAGACATTATGTAATCAGTAACTAATGACTGTCTAGTTCTTTTACCTCTCTCTTTCTTGCTTTCCTGTTGAGGTGAAATCTCTAGCTCAGTGTTAGTGGGTTGGTGACAGCACATACCTGTATCCAATCTCAAAGAGAAAGATTTCAAAATATCACCATCAAATATGATATTTGGTACAACTGATTTGTAGATCAGATTAAGTAAATTGCCTTACATGAATAGTTTGCTAAAAGTTTTTTTTTTTCACATGAATAGATGTTTAATTTTGTTTAATTTTATACACTAACATTGAGGTAGCCACTGAGATGATCGTATAAGTTTTTTTACACATACTGTTAATGTGGTAAATTACATAAGTAGATTTTTTTTAAAGGCTAAATTAATATTGCTTTTCTGAGGTACTATTGATCATGAGGTACTATTCTTCAGTATTGTTTTGTATTTTTATAGTTTGTTACACACATTGTTAAGTATAATTTCTAATTTTTTGTAGGAATACAGACTTGACCTTTTGTTTCTTTGTTGTCTTGTAAAGTTTTTGTGTAAAGGTTTTACTTGCCTCATATATTGAGTTGGGAAGTGTTCTCTATTTTCACTTTCTCTGGAAGAGTTTGTTGTGTTGTTTTTCCCTCTGATGCTTGGCAAAGCATCTAGCCTTGGTTGTCTTTGTTAAAAGGGGATCCAGGTGGGAAGGACTCAGAACCTGTCTATAGTGGGACCAAGGACTGAAGATAAAGAGCTGAAGAGACATTGAAGGCCACAGGCAGATTGGTGGGCCTTGAAACTACCTGGTTCTCCTCTACATGAGCAAGGCTCAAGGTCTGAGGCTGGAGAATTTCCTCACCCTGTGCCCATGTGTGGCTTATTCACTTCCTACAGGAACCAGTACCAACTGTCAAGACTGTATAAACGGTCTCACTTGCCTATTCTAGTTCCTTTATTGTTAACAGTCACATAAGAGTTTAAATGAAGCCACTTTGAACTGAAACAATTTTTTTTTCTATACCTACAGGTCAGTAGTTGCAAAAGAAGAGAAAGCTGAATTTGTAAACAACAACAACAACAACAAAAAACCAAACACACACAAAAAACGATCTGAAATGAAGCTTCAAAATATCATTAACAGCAATTGTGTTCCTGGTGAATTAGAAATGACTTAGTCAATGGCCCTCAAAGTACTCCTACATCAAATGCACAAATGTTTATTACTGCCATACCTAAAATTCAAAGCAATTCAGTTTTGTGCAGCAAATAAAATATTACTTATTATTAGCCTGAAAATATATTTTGAAGACCACAAGGAAAAATGAGTAATTCAGCAATAGAAAATTGGATTCACATACTGCTAACCTGAAAATTCTGGGAACTCTGTTATAGCAACAGTCATGGCTAAATTCAGGGCTTCTTTGTCTGCAGCCACTCCTCCCTTTTTTTCACTCTCCTTTCACAGTAGGAGGGATGGAACCCAGGGCCTCAAGCAGGCTAGGCAAGTGCTCTATCTAATGCTGAGCTACATTCTTAGCTCTTTGACACAGGGTCTTGCTAAATTGCCCAGACTGGCCTCTAATTTGTGG